GGACATAGAAGGGAAGGGGGATAGGATGGGATGGGATACCTTAGGATTGAATGAATGATTGGGAGGGGAAGGGGGGTCGGAGGGGAGGATAGGCCAGGCGAGGGTCCCCAAAAGAGAGAGAGAGGAAGGGAGGGAGGGAGGGAGAGGGAGACGGGAGACCAGGGTCCACGGCCAAAAGTAAGGTACAGCAAAGTACCTACCAGGAGCACGGCAGAAAGGTGCGCCGGATACTGTGCTATGCCTCTTAGGTGATGTATCTTGTAAGGCTTGCGTTCCGATTGCTGAAATGGGGCGGGATGGTATTATCCGTATCTCTATCAAGTCATCTGTATTGACCGGACGAGGACGCTTGAACGGACTCGGATCAGAGCAGAGCAGAGTAGACCCAGAGAGGCCGAAGATGAAAAGAAAGTAGGCTCTTGCTACTTTTCGTCTTTCTTCGTTGTTCCCCCGAGACCAGGGCTGGATCTGTTCACGACGGGGGGGGAACAGAGCAGGAGATTCCGTCTCTTTCTCCTCGGGTTCTCTACTAGACCAAGGTATTTGGCACGCGGCAGCACCAATTCATTAGCAGCATGTGCACCTTTCCTATCTCGCACATCCCTATTGTAACTTCATCTGGTTACTTCAGGGGGGGAAGAGAAGGCACGGCAAGGCAAGGCAAGGCACCTGAGCTGGGCCAGGTTGCCTCAGAAGAGTTAACCGCCGCCGGCAACATGAAAGAAGAGGTAGAGAGAAAGAAAAGAGCTACCCAGCAAGCAGCCACGTCGTTGTCCTGTCCTGTTGTAAATCCAAAGCCGCCCTGAGCACTGACTCCCGGTGGGGGTGTACTGATAGTATGCCACAGTAGCAGATGTGCCGAGTCTACCTTGCGGTGAAGGCCAGACCAGGCTGGGCTGGCCAGCCCAGTGGAATAGAAAAGTAAGGCAAAAAGGCAGGGTGTACCATCCACATAACCTTACCGCATCTACCGCGATGAGGTAGATACCTGCCGTGCTGGTGCCTGCCGTCAACCAGGTGTGGGCGAGACACTGCTGTTAATGAACCAAACGTCTGCGGCATCTTCTTGATGTGAAAATACGATACCGTAGTACTTATCTGACCTTGTCCAAAAGAACACCGGCCGTAGTGTCGGCGGCGACGTGGACTTGGTCACCTCTCTTCTCCTCGTCTCGCGTCTGTGGGCAATGGACGCAAAGCCAGTCCGCGTTGCCATGTGGATTGGTTTCCCGGCGTTGAAGTCGTGCTTCCTTTTGGGGCTCACTTTACGGCGCCGAGGCTATTTTCTCCGCCGCTAGGACCTACTAACAATATCGTATGTCCCTACCTACGGATTCCCACCTCTGCATGGCAAGAAAAAGGAACGCAAGACGCCGGCCAGGATGGACGCAGGATCGGATCGGTAACGTAGGTCTAGTAAGGTTAGGTCAGCTTAGTGCGAGCTTGCGTTTGCTTGAGCCTTGAGGTTGCTTCATGATAGCGTGCCGACGCCGTCGGGTGAGGTTCCTTCTCAGTTAGCATGTGCGGACAACGTACATTTGATGCTTGCTAGAGTAGGTACAGCGGTACCTCGCACCTCGCACCCTCTCAATCTCTAGTCCATTTCTCTCACGTTGTCCACGGATATTCGTGCCTTGGAATTGCAAAGTGGGAGGTGGGTGGGCGAGTTGCTTTGCGAAAAGCAGGGGGAAAACACAATGGGAATGGACGTGGGAGTCGGAGTGGGAGCCAAAGTGGGAACCGACAGGCTTGTGCAACGAAGCAGGGATCATGGACCGACGGAGATGGTTCAGTCTCTCTGAGAGAAGTGAGACCCAGATTGCCAGCCTCCAGCCTTCCAGGCCCAGAAGAGAGAGACTCCCGTTTGCTCCTCAGCCAGAGAGCACACGTAGTACACGATGGGATGATGCTAGTAAGCAGCAAAGCAACACGACCTCCTGCAGCAAACCGAGATACCCTGATCCTGCTGTTTGTTCCTTTCTTTTTTCGATGCTCTTAGGATACTCTCTGTCTGTCTGCCTCTTTCCCCCACATTACACCGCATGTACGGATACATGCCTTGGTACCGTGCCATTCCTCAGTGACACTGCAAGGCAGGACAGGGCAGAGACGGGCCCTTGCGAGAAACGGCTAGTTCCCCAGGTTAGAGAATCCGAGAGTCTCTGGGAAGAAGCAACGACAGACAGGCGCCCACGACGCGAAGAATGCCAGCGGAAGCCTGGCCTGAACAGCAAGTGGAAGCGCGGTTAGCAAACAAGCAAGCAAAACTTGCCCCGGGAAGAAGAAGAAGAAGTGATGAAGCGGCGTCAGGATTTGGATGGTTCTGGTCGAGAAGACGACGAAGAGCTTTCCAGAAACGAGCAAACGCGGAAAATACAGTCACCGCTACTGGTTCTACACTGGTTCTACACTAGTTCTGGGCGCCATTGAATCGGGATTTGAGAAGAGTGCCATTTCGTCCTATCAAGCCACATTGCGGCGGTGGTGGCAGTGATGTCGGCAGGAGAGCACACGAGCAAAGGAAAAAGGGCCCATCGGATGGAAACCTGTAACAGGCGACCGTTTGTTTCTTCCCTTGTCGCCGATATCAACCGGGGCCGTTTCTTTTTTGCTTTTGTGACGCGGCTGCCCAGTGTAATCAACCGGATACGACTTTGTGCCTTTGATTAGATTCGAAGGTCCCCAAACTTTGAAGAGGCGCTTCCGGGCCTCGGTCTCTACGCGGGCACAAAAGAAAGGTGATATTGGAGCTTAGGTACGGATACATCTGAATGCTGTGCTTCCATTGTGCGAATACATCCGGCCAAGTATACGTGAGCTGCCGTGTGTCCCTGGGATTGGCGTCGTGTCATTGGTCCGGAGTGCCCGCATTGAGGAGACTAGAGGATGAACCAGGGAGGAGCTGTCCACCAGGTCGGCACCAGAAGCAGCTCGTCCGGTGCAAACTTCCACTGAATGGCGTCTGCGCTCTGGAAGCCTACTGACATGGCACGACGGGCCTAAATTGTCACTTTATTGAGCGTCCCAAGACCCTCCGAGGAGCGTGCACCTATCGCCAAAATGGGTTGGACTGCACCTTCCGACGAGGAACCTCCTCATGTGCATGCTCATACTCCCGTCTGTGCCAAGTACCTTTACCCACTCCATTGCCACGTTCAGTCAGGTAGCGGGGGGAGACGATTGCTCCTTCTTTCCCAATTGATGCTGACTACGGATACCTACCTACTTCATTACAAGCTAAGGTATCCGTACGCCCTCTCGCAATTGCACCATCTGACCGATATTTCCTCGGACAGTCGCAGAGGAGTGTTTGCCCCACGGTATCGACTACACACATGGAAGTATCCGTCTCTTTTCTGTGTCAGCGCCGGGGTTCAATCAAACTCTGAAGCTGTTCTTCCGGCAACAATGGGCTCAAGACTCGCGACTTGAAACGAGCAGCTCGAACGAACATTGAACAGGTCTCAAGCTTCAACTGAACCTGCAGCCTCGACTTTGATAGAATTTCTAATCTCTTTCGGTGTCTGCAAAACCCTCCACATCTATCCGTACCTTGGACCGTCGACTGCCGGGTCTCACGCTCTGCCACTCTGGGCAACAATGAATCGTGGCAAAAGGTCTCAAGAACGACAAAGTACAAGGCACGAGCTAGACATCGGAAGAAGTCAATTCTTGCCTCAGCCCGCAGCACCTCGTTCGACTTTGGCGAGCCTTGCCAGCTGCAGCGACCACCAGCCATGACAAGAGGGCGAGACGCACGCGGCGTCCATGCCCCCCGCTCAGACTGAGGTGCCGCCGCCACGAGGCCAACCGCCGATGAATTGCCCCGGGCCTCGAACGGACCTGGGCCTACTCGCCGGCCGAGTCTTCCGAGCAGCTTGTTCACCAGCCTACCTTGCCATACCGTGTTGGCTTTTCTGATTGGGCCCACCTCGGTTTTTCTTAGCTACCCTCGACAATCTAGTGCAGCATATCCGTGCCATTCGTCATGGGCGTCGCCGAGCTACCGGGCGTTGAAGACCAGCCTAGAGGGGTATACCTCGGTGTCTATCCGCAGGAACGCAAGTCACCGGACGTCGAAACTGTTCATGAGCACTTGCATGCTTGAATTAACGATCCATCTAGTCAGATCCACCACTATTGACACGAAAACGCAGTGCTGGGAACCAACAACCCAGGAAGCATGCAAACCAAGCGTCAAACTAGCGCATTCTCGCATTCCTACGTCCACAAAAGCTGACACAGAAAACACGGATGCTACCATAGCCAACTGCATCCCGCCCTGCAAACGGGCGGCGCATAGTAGCGTTGCCGCTTTCAGGACAGGTTAATATGTAGGCGGCAACAGCTCAATGTGGCATCCTTGCCAGCCACGTGCGAAGAATGTGCAGACGTATCCCACCTCCCGCAATCTTTCTTAGACCGTTCTGCCGCAAGTCTGACTGACTAAATTGCCGGTCACGACAAAGCAACCGAGACAACTCTTGTCGATTCTGTTCTTGCGGTCCAATACTGCCCTGGATTGGCCCAGGATATCGTATCATGGAGCCTCGTCGAAAACGCCGCGCTCATGCGTCACCGTACTCCGACGTCTAGTTTCCTTCAGGGGTGACAAACCCGACATTCTACGACTCGGGGCCCGGACCAACCCTGCAAGAAATGTTTTCCCCATCGGCGCGCCTGGCTGCGTAACTAGGCCCCATCGGCACCGACACTGAGCCATGAAAGCTCGTGCGTGGTACGGGTCCCGAGGTACGGCTGTTCGACTTGTTGATGGATTTCCTCGGCCGCTATATTGTCTGTACGCCACCAAATACTCGAAAGTAAAAATCTTACGTATCTCTTGAATACCAATGGCTTGCGTCTCGCCTTCGCCCTCGCCATCGACAGATGGACGGTAGTCCCACCCTTGCAGCGAAGCGCGGGGCTGGATCAATCCGAGACATTGAGCCCATGTGGTCCCATGGAACAGGAACATTGTGCGGCCTTCTGGAAGAATTCTACCCCTTAGATTTCCTACCGTCCCAGATTAGCGACTCGTCTCTTTCCCACCAGCCCTCCACTGTGCCACGCGGGTCCCGACAGGACCCTGTGAGGACGGGACGTCAGCCTCGATATGCTGCTGCGTCTGCGATGGAAACCGCTGTCGGAGGAAAAGACAAAACCAGACAGCCTTTCCGTTCAGCGCTGCGCCCGGTCATGCATGTCAAACATGCACATGTTGAAATATCCAAAAATAAGGAGAGAAAAAGCCACCCTTTGCAACCGACGGTAACCCGAAAGAGACAAGTTTTTGGTGGTTCAAATCTCGAATATACGCAGTCCCGAATGACAAAGATGTCACAAACAGACGCATGGAAGTTGCAATATGCGCAATATGCGGAATGCCGACCCCAAAGATCATCCGAAAATCTGCAGGTTCCGTTTCAGAAGTTCCAACTGGAGGAGCCTACCCACGAACATCCATCACCGGTCATCTCCGTGTCAAACACGCAACGCGATCCCCTAGCCCCCCTTTTATTCGCCATTGACAAATGACAGCTGATGACACGCTGGCAGCCAGGCAGACCTTCTGCTGTCACGGCTCACCTGAGTACTCTCCGCCTGCAATAACGTCGCGGTGGACTCTACACCGCAGCCTTCGCTTCTAAACGCTGCTGATCCCGCAGATCACATTCAAACCCAAAATAATATTCGTACTACCGCGAAAGTCGGCCCCCTTTACCTAGTCTGGCAGGCTCCATAAGCGGGGCCCAACGAAGCCCCGCGAGTTCCATGACACGCTGCATGCATGGGTCATATCGAATTTTGACATCTCGACGCGTCTACCAGGAGCCTCATTTTAAACTAACTCCGTATTCACTATATTTAAGCTTGCCCACCTTCCATTTTTGAAACGGGGGCGCTGCTGCTGATACTCGGAAGTCATGTGAAAACCTTCAAACACGAGTCCGCCAGCACGACCCTCGACGTTGCATTGGTTACTGTAGCGAGCCGGAACAGATGCGCAGATGTAGGATTGCCAGCTCCCGCAGACGCAACAATGAATGGCGGCAAATGGGGCACCATGATCGGACTGGATTATATCATGCAAACGGCCGGTCGGGGTTGGCCTCCCTTCCGAGTCCCCCGTCGAGAAGCAGAGAGTGTCATGCGCGATCCCCTGCTTACATTCCAACCAAAGACTACTGTCTAGAATGCTTGTTTGAAATTGAACTCGAGCTTAGCTAGCTAACGTGGGAACCATGTCAACTTGCTGCATGGACACGAACTTGGCAGCGCATACCTATTATCTCTCTCGGCTCTTGCCGGCCAGCCGGCGGCCACAAGGCCACAAGGCATCAGGACGGGCGGCGTTGCTTGCTGCAGGACTGCATGTGGTCATCTTACGCCATGTGCCGCGAGATACCCCTTGGATGAATTGACCAACAGGACCCCGACCGCAGGTCTCATTTCAGTCTGTGTGGCATAGCGTTAATCAGCATAACGCTTGACCTGGAAATGGTTGACAGTCATCGTTGTGTGCAACTTCATTCTACAGGCGCCAATATCGGCGCTGTACTGCCCTCTTTTTCTGCTCAGCTGGGATCACACATGAGCAGCTGTCTCATCGAGTGCCAAATGTCAAGGAGAACATGGGACATTGTAAGAAATGGCCTGGTTTTGGGCATTGTTGAGATCGTTCCTGGGGGAGGCGCAAATGATCGTGGCTTGGTCTTCATGAGGAGGAATAGGGACCCAAAGCAATGGGCACTCCGAAAACCCAGTCTCGGAATTGGCAGACGTGGTAACGTTGACCTCTGAAATGATGCAAGTCCGTTGGCCGACTGTCTTCGGAACTGTCATGCTGCCATCCCGCGCCACCCGATAAATCCAACGAATCAAGCACAGCTAAGCTCAAGCGTCGCTTCGGCCGAGATCTACAGCTTCAGAGTTCAAGGAGAGATAACCAGGTTTTTGCCAGGAACCTGCAGGGCCAGTTGACCAGCAACTCCCGACAGCTGACAAGCCCTTGTTACACGTTAGGCGATCTTGTAAAGCGGTCTCCGAGATTGAAGTTGACGAGCAAGGGCATTTAGCAAAACCAGGGTCCAAGAACATACACGGAGGAGCACGCCGCACTCTATCGATCAGAATATCTCGCCGGCATGCAGGCCAGGCACAAGTCGGCTTCGCTGCCCCGAGGCCAATAATGAACCGCCTAGGCCTTCCTCGATGTCCGTAGACGTATACGCGTCTTTCCAATGACATTTCTCGGCCGGATTGGACCGAAATCGAAACGATTTGACAAAGGCAAACCTTCTCTTCTTCGCGTGGCGTCCAAACCATCCCCGAATGCGGCGTTGTCCAGAAACCGCCATTTGGTTAACTCGTTAACTCGGCCGTAAACACTAGGCGGCGCAAGACCCTGGATCATTTCGACAAAACGGAGAAGTGCAACCGCTTGGCAAGGCATCGATTGTCGTTGATTCAGCAGCCAACATTGAGTTGCTGGTGGCGCGATGTCATGCGAAAAGGTCTTGTTGGGCTCACTGGAAAACCTAATTGATAGCTATCTAAAGGTGTGTTGAAGCTAACTCGCAGGAGCATTGGATCAATTGCCTGGTGTCCGCATGCCACTCTTCGCTACTATTACAGTCAGAGTGAGCAGGCTTAGCTTGCAAGTAGTGAAAATAAGAATGACCAGCGATGGTAATCCGGGGTAAGCCGCAAGTGGCCAAAGTCGCATCTGTATGGTATGGTTATACGTATAGATGACGTCACGGTTCCAAAGGAGAGCATCTTGACGTAGATTCTCTCGTCACCACCTAAGTCGTAAATGTAACTAATTTTTCCTAAAATCTACAAAGGTTGTTATTATCAGACAGGACCTGAGCTTTCAATTGGTATTGCAATTCTACGCCAAGAAAGACGAAGCCCTAAAGCCCATCATTACCGTCCAGCCAACAGCATACAACATCACCCGTAACCAAAACCATGGCATCCCAAGCTCTCCGCTCCCTCAACCTCCGTGCAGCGGCCGCCGCCGCCGTCGCCCGCACGCCATTCCGAGCTACTTCAATCCCCATGACCGCAACGCGGCGCACACTCACCGGATCGGCGGCGAGGAGGCTCGCGTATAAGGACACCCAGGACCGCGAGTCCCTGAACCCCAGCTCTAACGAGGGGACCAGGACGGGCCGCGATTCGGAGGTGGCGCACGAGAAGAAGGCGTTTGACCCGTCGACGACGCAGCCCAAGGGAGAGAAGAAAGAGGACAGCGGCACGCTCGACGTCTCTGGCGCGAACCAGGCTGTTTCGAAGCCGCAGGGAGATAACCCGGGAAAGGAGGGCGCCGGCAAGGAGACGAGGAAGGTGGGGAGTAGCAGTGGTGCTGGGAGCGCGCCCAAGGCTGGTAGAGCGTGAGGAACTGTCCTTTTTCATGAATGAGAATATGACTCTGGGTCATGCTGAGAGTGTAATGCAAACTGGGAGAGGATGGAAAGGATGGAAAATGTGAGAAGGGTGTGAGGGAGGCGTGGAATGGCATATACTATTATCGTCAGCATCAAGCCCGGGAGAGTTGACTTCTCGTCTCGGCTTCAATTGCATGGCCGTTGAGAAAATGCGAGGGCGCATCCTGAGCGGCCTCTTGCTATTCATCCCCTCTCATTCACCATGAAAATGCAAGGGGATATCAAATGCAGCCCTCTCAACGCCAAACCACTCCAATCAAACTCCAAGATATCCATCCCCCTCTCCCCAGCCTCCTGTCTCCCAACCCTCTGCTCGACGTTGTCCATCCCCATGCTCTCCTTCTCTTTGCTTTCCATCTCAAATTAGACCGTTCCCACCCCGAATCATACTCAAGCCTACGCGTACAATCCATCAGGATCTTCATTCTCCTCGTCGTCGTCTGGCACAACCACCTGCTCCTTCTTCTTGGTCAAGTCCTTGCGGCACATGGGACAGCTGCCTTTACTCCGCAGCCAGGGGCTCACGCACTCGAGGTCGAAGCGGTGGCTGCTGTGGCAAGGGAGCTCGACGACGAGGGGGTACTTGTCGTCGAGGAATTTCTCGGCGCAAATGGGGCATGCCTCGTCCGGCTTTTGCTTGAGGGCCTTTGCGGGGACGCGGTCGAGGGCGTCGAGGTACTCTTGGGGGACGCCTGGGATTTCGGTGGGTGGGCTGGCGATGTCGGACTCGAGGGCTTCGACGAGGGAGGAGAGAAAGGCCGCGTTTTGGGAGTTTGGGTCTGCGGTAGAGAAGAGGGTTTGGAACTGTTGTTGGAGGAGGCTGTAGAGGGCTGCTGCGTCTACGGGGGTTGGTATCGCGTGGGGGTTGTTGTGGTGGGCGGCACCGCCGGCGGCGGCACCAGCGTGATGGGAGTCGGTTGTGGTGAGGTTTGAGAGGAAGGAGGTGAAGGAGGACATGTCGATGCGGCGGGTTCCTTCTTGGGTTGAGGGCCCGGGCTTGATGTTGTGCTCGACTTTGTTTGGAGAGTTAGTCATTGTTTGGTTGGAGACTTGGTTTGTGCTGTCGGGAAAAAGGGGGGAAGGGGGGTGCATTGGGTTTGGGGAGGAAGCAAAAGGTGAGATGTTTGCTGGTATACCTTCGTATTGTGTGGCCATGGTGGGCGGGTGTTATGCGCGTCGACTTGTAGACTTTTTTTTTGTTTTGTGATGATATTGGGGAGAGAGGGCGATGAGGCGAGGCTGCGAATCGTTGAATTCCACCGGGGGATTTCGGGAATCGAGGGTGGAGGTTGCTGATGCGGTTTCGGCTGGAGAGAGGTTCGTTTTTTGGTGCAAGGATGGAGGCTGCCGTGATGATGTGGCCTACGGTAGGCAGTCGTCGGTGTCGCAAGTTCGGTCAACTTCGGGGGGCGGGGAAGGGACGGGACAAATTGAAAACCTGAGGGGATGGAAGGTGAGGGGAAGCATAGCTCGCGGATGGGGGGAGGATTGGAGTCAGAACCTACTGGACGGTTACCTTAAGCTTCCATGCTTCTAGCGCGGCAGCGCGGAGCACGGCTGCAGGGATTAGCACCCCGCGTTAGTGTGGCCGACCTGGCGAACTCGCCTCACCTTGCCTCACCTTATCAGACTCACCTCTCTTACCTTTAATGCAGCAGCATCTATATTTGCACTATAGAACATCGCTTTGGCACTGTAGGACACTTATACCTTGACCTGGATTTAACATCCATCAGATACCTACCTACCTTACTTCGGGTGGTGAGAGTTCATACCAGTGTGACGAGGTCTTCTCCGCTTGTTCGCTGGGGGAATTACGTGGGATGATAGGCCCTCACGCCAATGCCCGTTAGTGGGATTCCTTCTCACAGCCTCGCCAATTCCTTGTTGTTCTCCCTTGCCAAAGTGTCCAAGTTATCGGGACAGCCGGCAGCAAGTCCTTATTTGTGAACAGCACGTTTTGTGAATTCCGCATTCTGCGGTCGCGGATTCCGCGGCGGTGGAGTCTGCGATTCGGCGGAGTGTCTGTGGCCCACCCCGTCCATCCTTATCGCCGACAGTGTTTGAAAGACTGGCTTCCACGGAGGACTCGAGTAAGCTTTCGTACTGGCCCGAGCCTAAGCCTGGACTTTTAGAGGCAATGTATATCGATGTATATTAGGCAGCGGAGAAGCGCTCACTGTAGTCTTGGTACGAATGGGTCAAAAGATTCGGAAAGAGGAATGCTTTTTGGGGGAACTTGCCGACGAGAGAGTGCTTCAGAAGTCCAGTGTTCATCAGGTTAGGACGGAAAGTAATTACACCATCCCGGCGTTAAGCTCGTCAACTCAGTAAGAACCAGCGGCCGCGCTCTCCGTGTGGTAGAGCGGAGCTTTGCATGACTTGCGGACTTTTCCCAGGTCGAGCTCTTCCGTCATGGTTTACCTCGTCTCTCCCTGTCTCGCGCTCTCCACCCCCCCC